CTCCCAACATGACAACATACCCACCCACCCCCACTCCAACATGACCCTCTCTCAAGTGATGTACAGCCGGACGCCACGCGCCCGGCACGCACCACACACCTGAGGAACCCCCCAGAACCCATTGAGCCTAGACACCTGTGCAACACCTGAGCAGTGGGGCCTAATGGGCTCTCCTGCTCAGGTGCTGCGCGTGTTGTTATAGATTCAGCTACTCGGAACAAGTTCCAAGTAGCACGGGCTTTGGTGAGCCCGTAACTTACCTGACACAGGAGCGGGGCCAGTAGCACGGGCTATGGTGAGCCCGTAACTTACCTGACACAGGAGCGGGGCCAGTAGCACGGGCTATGGTGAGCCCGTAACTTACCTGACACAGGAGCGGGGCCAGTAGCACGGGCTATGGTGAGCCCGTAACTTACCTGACACAGGAGCGGGGCCAGTAGCACGGGCTATGGTGAGCCGGTGGTGGACTTACCTGGCACAGGAACGGTGCTGAATGAGTGCTGCGCGTATTGTTGTTGTTGTTGTTTCAGATTTAGCTACTCAGGACGAAGTGTCCATGTAGCACGGGCTATGGTGAGCCCGTAATTGAGTTTGGTTATACATGATAACCTTTTTCCTGTGATATTTGGGTCTAAGTTTAAAATGGAGGTGAGGACTTCTCCTTTTTCCCTGCTTATTTATCGCTTCTGTTTTAGTGCACTGGTTTTAATCTTGTTTTATTAACATTATCTTGGTGGCGGATGTAGATGCAGAATGCTCGCTAATGAGTCCCATTCCTCAACAGCTTTTCTAATCATTGTAGTCGTGGTGGAATGTGCATCTAATGCAGCTGCTGTCGTTGGATTAATGTTGAGTTTGATGGGCAGGGGTTCAGTAGGTTCATATTCCAGTAAGTAGTGTAATAGTGGCGCCTCTGCTTCAGTTTCACAGATGTGACACTCTTTAACTATTGGCTTCATTACCTCCCAGCAGCACTTGTAACCAAGTCTGAGTCTGTGTATGGTTACTGTAATGTCTCTGGATATCTTTTTGCCAGGCTTGAAAGAGGAGTAACCAGTGGCTTGTTCATACCATATCGCAGTGGATCTTCTTTCCGCTACTTTGGCTCTGTGGCGACTTTTGATAGTTGAGAATATTTTCTTCTTGATTTGCTCCTTTATCTGTGAGAAACTTGGAGGTATTTGAACCTGTAAAACAGCTGCGCGTGGTTCTAGTCTCAATTTACGCTATTCACCTACCACCTCACCATCCCCTATCCTCGCTACGACCTCTACCTACCACCTCACCACCACCTATCCTCTCTATGACCTCCACCTACCACCTTGCCGTCCCCCACTATCTCTCACCGTCACCCCAGCAAAACCACCTCGCTCCCCAACCCATCCTCTTGAGATGATGGTAGTTTCTCTAACTCAGTGGTGGAAATTACCAACATGTTCCAATGGAGCTCCAGTAAGCCACTTTTTGTACTAATTTCATGGAGTCCGGAAAAATCAATCTAAAAACCAAACTTAAACATTCCTAGGCCTAGTTCAGGATATGTCTACTATATTAGTCCTCAGATAGCGTGTATTAGACCTAGGACGGTTATGATGGTCCACGGTTCGAGTCTCCTAGAGCCCAGGTGATTTGGATAAGGACAACCTCTTTAATTTGAGAGAAAGACAGACAAGAGGACACAAGCGGAAGGGAAGTATCAGGGGGAAAGTGCCAAGCATTTACGACTATACGACACCTGAAAGGGGTCAGGATAAGAATATGGGATGGGACAAGGGTGATATATTCATCATTTAGGATGAGGATGAAGGCTGTAGCTTAACTCTCTGGATAGTGATAGTTTTGAAGGACTCTGTACTGTCCAGAGAGCCTGTTAAACAGTGGCCTTCGTCCTCATTCCAACTAAAAGAATTCCTAAATGATGAGACCAAATTTAAAAAGATAACTATACACCCGTGTCACGTGAATCCCCTGCATAGTAGTGGAACTGCCTTTTCCCCTCACCTTCAATGCCTCTGTACTGGAAGTATACATCTACACCAGCCCAGATGAGTCATCAGTCCTGCCACCTCTCCACCTCTCCGTACCCCCCCCCCCCCCACGGCCTGGTACGACTCAGAGGCAAGACGGGCGCCTCTGCTAACCGGTAGTTTGCCTTCACAAACAAGCAGTTAGCCGCCTTCATCTGGCAGTGGTGCAGCTCAACACAAAGGCACCATCAACCACAAACGAACAGTTTGCTAGTTGACCAGATGTCCACCTTGTGCTGATCCCGGATGAGTCATCACTGCCAGACTATATAAAGGGCACTGCCTCCCTGGAGAGCTGCGGGCTCACCATAGCCTGTGCTACTTGGAACTTTGTTCCAGGTAGCGAATCTTCAACAACAACAACAACCCTGGAGAGCCAGTCTCTCTCTTAGTGCTCTAGTATCACCTTGGTCTCTCTCACCCGTCGTCTGCCTACACCGTGTGTCTGATGCCGTTGTGGTATGGTAGCTGTCTTCAGCACACCAGTATATCTTTATGATTTGAATTCATTACTCACAGTTTATTTTTGTATTAATGTCATATTATCTTGTTCATCTTTGCATTACATTATAGCCAAGTATTTTCAGGTGCCATTTTTGTTCATTAATATTTCAGTAAATAGTTTTAATTATTTATTTGACGATTTTCATTTGTTTACAGCTGCGACTTACACACTGCAAGACCATTTGCAGCAGTTTTTGTATATGTGAGGGAGAGCCATACCATCTGGGTTCAGTATAGCTGCGATACTACAACCCATCACACCCGACTGAAAAATTAAGAAGAAAGATAACCGAATAATTGATGCAGTTAATGCGAAAAAAGGCAGCATCCACCTGCAAAAAATCCACGGTGACTACAACCTCGGTTTCGTTCAGGAAAATGTTAAAACCCACAAGCCTGGTAACCCTCTACGACCCATCATTAGCTTCATTCCTACTCCCACGTATAAATCTGGCTGAACCATTCAATAAAAACTGACTCCATATGCACCAAATAACAAGTTAGAAATCAGTCACTTTCTTAAACATCGGGAAGACCACTAAACCAAAGTCATCATATTATCTCTAGATGTGGTATCCTTATTTACAAACGTTCCTGTGAACACCACTTTCAACTTAATTTTGGGTAGAATCTATTGTGACAATTCTACTCTTAAGTTGGATATTTGAAAGTCGGCCCTTTGTAATCTTTTCCCCATTTCTTTCCCCATCCCATCCCAACTCCTTATTCTGACTCTTTCCAAGAGCTATATAGCCTTCATGGCTTGGCACTTTCCCCTGATAATTCAATTCCCTTCCTTTCCTGGAGATATGCACCGAAATGAGCCCATTCACAACCCCTCAAGGAGACATGTATGCAAAGATAGGCACAGTAGCAATGGAGTCCACACTAGGAGTTCAATATGCTAACTTCTATATGTCAACACCAGAAGAGAGCATCTTTAGAACCATGGATAAGCCTCGCATCCACTACAGATACGCCAATGACATTTTGAAAGATGTGAAAGTCTTCCAGGAAGTGACAGAGATAAATAATCTACTTATCCAAACATTATCACTGGACTTTACCCATGAACTAGGCATCGATGGTACACTCCCTTTCCTAGGGAGAGAAAGGCAGTGTACCGAACTAGGAGGTTCGGGACCTCTGGAACCATCCTTTGAATTTAGTAGTTTCGGGTTTAGTTAACTTCTGTACCACACTCGAGTCAAATAAACCCGAAACTCTACTAAATTCAATGGGTGGTTCTGGAGGTCCAGAACCTCGCAGTTCGGGGAGGTTCGAGTCAGTTAGAGGCAGGTGTCTGGGAATCGCCTGAACACAGATTAGAGTCACTCCATTGCCTCAAAATAATTTTCAAGGATATATCTTGCCATTGTAATTTCACTGCGATCTTATTTGGGGCGTTGAGTGTGAACACAATTGTCTTAGACCAGAGTGTGGTCGGGTCGACTGTAAAACCGTGGTTTTGATCCGGTTCTGGGCCTCCAGAACCTCCCAGTGAATTCAGCAGAGTTCCGATGTCCTGTAGGTTATTACTGTGTGAGCGAGCTTTGGTTTGAGTCCTTGCCTCAGGTCTGAGTCATAGGCTGTGGTCTGAGGGCTGAACTGTGGTCTCTGGTCTAATTGGTGGACTGTGGTCTGAGGGCTGAACTGTGGTCTTAATGCTGGTCTCTGATCTAATTGCTGGGCTGTGGTCGTAGTGTTGGTCTGTAAAATTGAGTGCTGGGCTTGACCCCTGCCCAGCACTCGGCACCCAGCACTAGGAGCCCTGAGGGCTGGGCTCCACGCACCTTAACACCGCGTCAAGGAGCGTGTGGTCTGAGTACCTGGCAGTGGTTTGAGAGATGGACTGTGGTCTGAAAGATGGGATAGGGTCAGAGGGCTGGTCCTTGATCTGACGACCGAGCTGTCGTCTGAGCGCTGGGTTAAGTCTGATCGCTGGGCTGTGAGACAGCCCAGTGACAGGCTGTCTATCACCGACAGGCCTCACCTGTTACAAACTGTGTCGGTTCTGCTGGATGATGTCAATGGTTCAATAACTACAAATACAGAGGTCAACAGAGGTTCAAAGAATAATATAAATGCATAGCTTTAAATATGAAATATATTGCAAGGTTGCAGAGTATAGTCATGCCAAGGCTGCAGAGTATAGTCATGCCAAGGTTGCAGAGTATAGTCATGCCAAGGTTGCAGAGTATAGTCATGCCAGGGTTGCATAGTATAGTCATGCCAGGGTTGCAGAGTATAGTCATGCCAGGGTTGCAGAGTACAGTCATGCCAGGGTTGCAGAGTATAGTCATGCCAAGGTTGCAGAGTATAGTCATGCCAGGGTTGCAGAGTATAGTCATGCCAGGGTTGCAGAGTACAGTCATGCCAGGGTTGCAGAGTACAGTCATGCCAGGGTTGCAGAGTATAGTCATGCCAAGGTTGCAGAGTATAGTCATGCCAGGGTTGCAGAGTATAGTCATGCCAAGGTTGCAGAGTATAGTCATGCCAGGGCTGCAGAGTATAGTCATGCCAGGGCTGCAGAGTATAGTCATGCCAGGGCTGCAGAGTATAGTCATGCCAGGGCTGCAGAGTCTAGTCATGCCAGGGCTGCAGAGTATAGTCATGCCAGGGCTGCAGAGTATAGTCATGCCAGGGCTGCAGAGTATAGTCATGCCAGGGCTGCAGAGTATAGTCATGCCAGGGTTGCAGAGTATAGTCATGCCAGGGTTGCAGAGTATAGTCATGCCAGGGCTGCAGAGTATAGTCATGCCAGGGCTGCAGAGTATAGTCATGCCAGGGCTGCAGAGTATAGTCATGCCAGGGCTGCAGAGTATAGTCATGCCAGGGCTGCAGAGTATAGTCATGCCAGGGCTGCAGAGTATAGTCATGCCAGGGCTGCAGAGTATAGTCATGCCAGGGCTGCAGAGTATAGTCATGCCAGGGCTGCAGAGTATAGTCATGCCAGGGCTGCAGAGTATAGTCATGCCAGGGCTGCAGAGTATAGTCATGCCAGGGCTGCAGAGTATAGTCATGCCAGGGCTGCAGAGTATAGTCATGCCAGGGCTGCAGAGTATAGTCATGCCAGGGCTGCAGAGTATAGTCATGCCAGGGCTGCAGAGTATAGTCATGCCAGGGCTGCAGAGTATAGTCATGCCAGGGCTGCAGAGTATAGTCATGCCAGGGCTGCAGAGTATAGTCATGCCAGGGTTGCAGAGTATAGTCATGCCAGGGTTGCAGAGTATAGTCATGCCAGGGTTGCAGAGTATAGTCATGCCAGGGTTGCAGAGTATAGTCATGCCAGGGTTGCAGAGTATAGTCATGCCAGGGTTGCAGAGTATAGTCATGCCAGGGTTGCAGAGTATAGTCATGCCAGGGAACGTCACCCATAATCATCCCCCTGACAGGTTCATCTCCTTCGCAATGATATGCAGATCAACCTGTCCTCACACTTAATACTTGACAACTGCCTCAACTCCTCATACATATTGTAAAGCATTTTCAACGTTACTGATCACAGCGTCAACATTCTGACGGATTATACAAAACGGAGCACGGTAATATTGACGATATCTGGGGTTACACGGCACCCGCCTCAGTGAGTTCTGTGGTTAATATGTTTCTGGCAATTCAAAACAGTTTTGTCAGGCAGCTATGTAGAGAATAATGTAAGCAAACAAAGAACACAAAAAGTGAGACCGTGAACGTAATTATTGCAACACAATATGCAGAATAATTTATTACTTGCTTATTTTTTCCGGAGGTAAAGTTTAGTTTCTCTGCGTCTCTTTACGTTCCGTTGTGTTCGTTTTCCATTTATGGTTTAATGATTTGTTTTTTCCCATCAGTTAAGGGAACTGTGACTCCTGACTGTACCGGAGATGGTCCTCACTGTACCGGAGATGGTCCTCACTGTACCGGGGGTGGTCCTCACTGTACCGGTGGTGGTCCTCACTGTACCGGAGATGGTCCTCACTGTACCGGAGATGGTCCTCACTGTACCAGGGGTGGTCCTCACTGTACCGGGGGTGGTCCACACTGTACCGGTGGTGGTCCTCACTGTACCGGTGATGGTCCTCACTGTACCGGTGATGGTCCTCACTGTACCGGGGGTGGTCCTCACTGTACCGGGGGTGGTCCTCACTGTACCGGGGGTGGTCCTCACTGTACCGGGGGTGGTCCTCACTGTACCGGGGGTGGTCCTCACTGTACCGGGGGTGGTCCTCACTGTACCGGGGGTGGTCCTCACTGTACCGGGGGTGGTCCTCACTGTACCGGGGGTGGTCCACACTGTACCGGTGGTGGTCCTCACTGTACCGGTGGTGGTCCTCACTGTACCGGGGGTGGTCCTCACTGTACCGGTGATGGTCCTCACTGTACCGGTAGTGGTCCTCACTGTACCGGGGGTGGTCCTCACTGTACCGGTGGTGGTCCTCACTGTACCGGAGGTGGTCCTCACTGTACCGGAGGTGGTCCTCACTGTACCGGAGGTGGTCCTCACTGTACCGGAGGTGGTCCTCACTGTACCGGGGGTGGTCCTCACTGTACCGGGGGTGGTCCTCACTGTACCGGTGGTGGTCCTCACTGTACCGGTGGTGGTCCACACTGTACCGGAGGTGGTCCTCACTGTACCGGTGGTGGTCCTCACTGTACCGGAGGTGGTCCTCACTGTACCGGAGGTGGTCCTCACTGTAGCATTTGAGATCCTCTGCATATGAAGGCAGCTGCTGAGAGAAGTTCCTCACACTCACGCACTCGGTTCCTTCGTGAGTAGCTGAGGACTACAGTCTGCCAGTCGGGTGTAGTGGCACCAGCCGGGTGTAGTGGCACCAGCCGGGTGTAGTGGCACCAGCCGGGTGTAGTGGCACCAGCCGGGTGTAGTGGCACCAGCCGGGTGTAGTGGCACCAGCCGCGTGTAGTGGCACCAGCCGCGTGTAGTGGCACCAGCCGCGTGTAGTGGCACCAGCCGGGTGTAGTGGCACCAGCCGGGTGTAGTGGCACCAGCCGGGTGTAGTGGCACCAGCCGCGTGTAGTGGCACCAGCCGGGTGTGGTGGCACCAGCCGGGTGTGGTGGCACCAGCCGCGTGTGGTGGCACCAGCCGGGTGTGGTGGCACCAGCCGGGTGTAGTGGCACCAGCCGCGTGTAGTGGCACCAGCCGCGTGTAGTGGCACCAGCCGGGTGTAGTGGCACCAGCCGCGTGTAGTGGCACCAGCCGCGTGTAGTGGCACCAGCCGCGTGTAGTGGCACCAGCCGGGTGTAGTGGCACCAGCCGCGTGTAGTGGCACCAGCCGGGTGTAGTGGCACCAGCCGGGTGTGGTGGCACCAGCCGCGTGTGGTGGCACCAGCCGGGTGTAGTGGCACCAGCCGGGTGTAGTGGCACCAGCCGCGTGTAGTGGCACCAGCCGGGTGTAGTGGCACCAGCCGCGTGTAGTGGCACCAGCCGCGTGTAGTGGCACCAGCCGGGTGTAGTGGCACCAGCCGCGTGTAGTGGCACCAGCCGGGTGTAGTGGCACCAGCCGCGTGTAGTGGCACCAGCCGGGTGTAGTGGCACCAGCCGCGTGTAGTGGCACCAGCCGCTTGCTCCGTCGCACGAAGGTTAAGCCAAGACAGTGTGTCGAGGGAACGCCACCCCAGGGGGGGGGGTGTATTATTTCTCAATTACTAAGGCTTTCATCACTAGTGTTCCGGGCCTCGAGGCACGACACACAACCTCTCCGGTGATGTACAGCCATCAGTGTCGGCCCTGTGTTCCTCGTGTCTCGGTAGCGAAGCTTTGTGTGACACGACGACCATACCACACACCAGAAGATGAGGAGACGGCGACGTTACGGTCCGTCCTGGACGGAGCTCCTCACAATCAAGGTGATTGTCAGACACGTACGTAACTGCTCTCAGGGTTATCCGTAGTAAGAAATATCTTTCGGCTTATCCGGAATATTCAATATCTGATTTATCCGCAACACGCAATTTCTGAGTTATCCGGAATATGCAATCTACAGGCTTTCCAGAACACGCAGTTCTTTGGCTATCTGGAATTTTCAATCCCCTGGGTATTCGGAACATATAGTCTCTTGGTAATCTCCAACACACAATGGGAAAATAGTCACTCAATGCAGTTCTTTCTTAGTAATTTCCTTAAATAGTTGAGGTTATATGTTTTGATATCGTCTTCAATCAATTCCCTAACTCGTGCTCTAAATCATTGTGTTAACCCAGATTGTCCCGCCGAGATCTTCCAGATATCTGAATTATTCAAGTATTTCATATTATGTATTATTGTAGTCTGAAAATATATAATTTTGTCTAAGAGTTTATTTGATGTTAATAATGAGTAGATAAACAGAGAGCAATTGTTTTTCATAATTATGTTTAAGTAATGGTTATGTCTTTTCACCGACATAATAACAAGGGATGTAACACCCCCCCCCCCTCTGCCCCCCTCCCCTCTGCCTCCCCCCAAAAAAACAAAAAACAAAAAGGAGAAGTCATACACACAGAAATCACAATAGCGTAATACATCAAATGAACAAATCCACAAGGGTTTTGCACGGGTTAACAGAAACCTCCCGTGCCTAGGTTCGAACCCTCATTACGGCCCATGTGGACTTGTTCAGGAGATGTAGATCTCGTCCTAAGTACATACTCAGATCTTGACAAAGCATTGATAAGATTTCTAATGTTACTAATGATGGTGCACACATTATCGTTTGAGGTTTAATTCCACAGTATCACCATTACTGGTAGCAACCTCAACACAGTTATTTGGAGGTCCAAAATGTCAAATGACTGCAGTGTGGAAGCAACCATTCCTCTCTGTGACTGTTACATCTAGAAAGGGCAGCCTCCCATCACTCTCCATCTCGTAAGTGAAACATAACACCGAATTTTGCTCGAATGCCTCCTTCAGCTGCTGCAAACGTCTGACATCAGGTACCTACATAAAAATGTCATCAACATACCTGTAGTATATGGTGGGTTTCAAGTCCATGTCAACTAAGACCCCTCTGCTCAATGGTACCCATGTAGAAGTTCACAAACGGGACACCTAGGGGAGAACCCATAGCGACCCCATCTACTTGCTTATACATGTGTCCATCCGGGCTCAAGAAGGGTGCCTCATTAGTACAAGCTTGGAGTAGTTTCCTTAGAATGTTTTCTGGTATGTCAAGAGGAGTACAGGCCGGATCACGATACACTCTGTCGGCTATCATCCCGATTGTTTCATCCACAGGTACGTTGGTAAACAGTGATTCTACGTCCAACGAGGCTCTTATACCTGTGGCCCGATTTCCCCGCAGTAAGTCAACAAATTCCTTTGGAGACTTCAGGCTGAAGGCGCAAGGGACATAAGGAGTCAGCAAGCCGTTGAGGAGTTTCGCCAGTCTGTACGTGGGTGTGGGTATCTGGCTGATGATATGAAAAATGGAAATGTCAAGACACACAAACCTGGAAACCCATTTCGGCCAATCATCAGCCAGATACCCACACCCACGTACAGACTGGCGAAACGACTCAATGGCTTGCTGACTCCTTATGTCCCTTGCGCCTTCAGCCTGAAGTCTCCAAAGGAATTTGTTGACTTGCTGCAGGGAACACGGGCACAGGGATAAGAGCCTCGTTGGACGTAGAATCTCTGTTTACCAACGTACCTGTGGATGAAACAATCGGGATGATAGCCGACAGAGTGCATTGTGATCCGGCCTGTACTCCTCTTGACATACCAGAAAACGGTCTAAGGAAACTACTCCAAGCTTGTACTAAAGAGGCACCCTTCATGAGCCCGGATGGACACATGTATAAGCAAGTAGATGGGGTCGCCATGGGTTCTCCCCTAGGTGTCCTATTGGCAAACTTCTACATGGGTACCATCGAGCAAAAAGTCTTAGTCGACATGAACTTGAAAGCGGCCATATACTGCAGGTATGTTGACATTTTTACACAGGTACCTGATGTCAGACATCTGCAGGAGCTGAAGGAGGCATTTGAGCAGAATTCTGTGTAGCATTTCACTTACGAGATGGAGAAGGATGGGGAAGCTGCCTTTCTAGATGTAACAGTCATGGAAAGGAGTGGAGGTTTCCACACTGCAGTCTACACTAAGGAAACAAACATAGGAATGTGCCTGAATGCCAATAGTGACTGCCCGGACAGGTACAAGAGGAGTGTTGTTAACGCTTATGTCGACCGTGCCCTCAGCCACAGCTCAAAATGGAAGCAAGTCGACGAAAAACTCTGTAGGGTAAGGCAGGTCCTAGTCAACAACGGCTTCTCCAATGGTTTCGTGGAAGACATCATAAGAAGGAAAGTGAAACGCCATGCAACCTCTGAAGAGACTACTAACACAACACCTATACCCCCTATTAGACTATTTTACAGGAACTTCTTTTCCACAGCCCATAAAACGGAGGAAAGGGTCCTGAAAGATATTGTCAGTAGAAACGTTATCCCTACAGAC